AGGAGAGTCTCTCACTGACAGCAGGAACCAGCAGCAGCAGCAACAAAGTGTAGTAAGAAGCCAGCGTGGCTGTCAACTGGTTTGACCCTACCCAGTCGTGGATTGATCTGTCCGATAAGACGCTGACTCCAGCAAAGAGCCAGCTCAGCTAAGCACAAGCATCTATTTGCACCTCAGAAATCAGCAAATGCTACCAATCAGGGCTTGATTTATTGTTCTGTTGATTGTCTAGACTTAAGAAAATGGTAGAGAAAATGTTAATATTGCAGACTAAACTTAAGTGTTTCATGCCTATATTTCCCCCCAGAGTGAATTGTTAAAGATTTACCAGATCACTGCCAAATACACCCTAGTCTAGACATGTTTTTGTAACTTCTGTCCTTACTTTTCAGTAAATAGCCCTTTCTAAAAGTTAATTGATGTCAAGTGGTTAATTAATATTAGGGAGCACATAGATGGGGGCTTGTGAGTAAAAACACTAGAAATACCAGACCCTCCGGGCTCTAGGAGAAAAATTCTGCTACTCTCTGGGAAACTAACCTGCTAATCCAGTTCAAGTGGGAAGAATGAGACCAGAGAGGGATAATAACCAAAAATATACATATATATGTGTATATATATGCATATATATATACACATATACACACATATATACATATATATACATATGCATATACACATATACATATATACATATACATACACACACACATAATCTAATTCTTTGGACAAATTCTCTTTCTCATTGTGAGGAGGTCACATCTGTAATCCCATCAGTGTGAAGAAAGTCCCAGTGTAGAAAATCCCTCAACTGATGCCGGTCAATTCATCTGTAACTTTTAGCCTTAGAGACATAATGGCACTACTAAGAGTTGAGTGACTTATCCATAGTTACCCAGCTAGTATATATCAGAGGCAAGGCTTAAACCCAGATTTTCTTGACTCTGTTCACTGTGAACACTACCAATCAGAACAAATTCATGAAGCTCATTTATGTTTACTAAGGCTTTTAGGAAAATTAGATTCCAATCCCTGGAACCAAAATGACTGACCAGAGTAACTAGTAGTAGCTAGGGCTGCAATGTGAGGTAATCACACTGAAGTGTTATATACATGTGAAATTATTATATAATGGGCTCACTTTTTTCTAAAGAAGTTATGTTAATGTCTTCTGTTTTTATTTGACAGTCTGAACATACCTTTGCCAACCTCCCTCCTCCATCTCCAATCAGCCCTCCCTTTTTACAGAGAAAAACAGTTAAGTAAAATCAACTGACAAAATGACTGTGGCTGACAAGGTATGCAACACCCCTCATCTGTAGTTTACCACCTTTCTACTAAAAGAAAGGAGATACTTCCTCATCTTTTCTCTAGGCCAAAGAAAAATCATTCTAATTAGCCTTTTCCTTCTTTTTACTCACTCAGTTTCTAAAGCCAGACAAATTGGTTCTCATTCCCCAGAAAAGGAGAAAGCCATTCCCAAAAGGAGAAAGCCATTCCCCAGAAAATGCATCTTGATTTGCAAAGAATGCTATAAAGGCAGGACATCTTTCCCCTTTACTCCAATAGAATTAATTCCACCCCACCCCCACCCTCCAAGCTGTCCTTTTGGGGAACAAGGGAGAGGCAGGGGAGTAGAGGACCAGGTTATGCCTGGGACCTGGGGAGATGGGTGGATGAGAAAGAGTTAAATAGGCAGCTGCCAGCACAGGCAGTGTAGAGTTATGCTCAAACTGTTCCCACTACCCAACCAAGTCAGCTGTCATTAGAGAACAAAGAAGCCCCCAGAGCAGCTCAAGTTATGTGTCACACTCGGGAAGCCCTGAGAGCTCCCTTATTAGGATTTCTAAATCAACCCCATCTAGGCTAGAGGAATAAAGCTGTGGAACAATAAGTGGGCCACATTCACACAATCAGCAACCCTGCCCTCCCCACCTCCCGTCTCCCGCCCGCCTCCCTTCCTCCCTCTCCTCCCCCCTCTCTTCCTTCCCCTTCCATCCTCAACAAGCATTTCATCTCAAAGACCCATCAGAAAAATCAAATCAAATCCCTGCGCTGCCTCCCCTACCTTTCCTCCTCAAACACTGCTTTCCCCCCTCACACACTCCGTTCATTGGTGAGAGATGCCCAGCTCTGGCATGAAGATACCTATGCTGAAATTACTTGGTTGGAGTAAGGTTTGGAGCCAAGGTCAGGCCCGGGTCTGGGAGAGAGTCTACTGAGCTGCTGCAGATGGGGGCAGGGCACTCACACTGCAATGGCGCAAGGGAAAAGGCTGTATGTCGGGCAAATATGGAACCTACTTGCAGCTTCCCCAGAGGCATCCTGGTATAGTAATTAGAGCTCACAATGAGGAAGATCTGGATTCAAATCCTGCCTTAGGAATCTGCTAGTTGTGGGACCCTAGACAAACCACTTAATCTTTCAGTTTGTTTCCTCGTCTTTAAAATGAGCATAATAGCATCAACCTCATAGGGTTTTTATGGGGCTCACTGGAGATGATATATGCGAATCATTTTGCAAATCTTAAAATAATATATAAATTTGTGTTATTATTATTATTATTATTATTCAAATCCCACTATAGACCAGCTGTATTATTATGGGCACAATTTAACTTCTCAGAGTCTCAGTTTCCACATCTTTAACATGGGCATAATAGCATATATTTTACAGGACCATTGTAAGGTAAAAAGATATATTCAAAGTCTTTTTTAAAGCACTATATAAATGTCAGTTATCTTCCCGTCCACTTCTATTTGCTACACTCTTAAAGATCCATCTTTCACAACTGCTAGGTGATTTGCACACTAAAATGCATCTCTCCTTATGACATGGATGATATTTCCACCCTCACTATCCATTCCTGGGTGACTCTGAAACTTAGGAGTCCTTTAAATAATATTTACAGGAAGAAAGTGTGCCCACTGGGGCTAAGACCTTCACCCTGGGAAGTTTGCTGGTCCTGTGGGCTCCGGAGGGGACTCACAGTTCAACATTTGCCCTTTGTGTACCATGATATTCTCCAAGGCAGTGTTTCCTAAAATATGTCCTAACTACATATGCCTGCTGTGAATAGGATTCCATAAGAAAAGGTCGGTGTTAATATTTTAGACTCTAAAATAATAAATAAAAAATATTATACTGTCTCAGCTTCAGTTTCCTCATATGAAAGACAAGATACTAATGGCATAGGGTTAATGAAATAATATATCTAAAGATCTTGGTAGACCTTAAAGGTCTATGTAAATGCTAGCTATCATCATCATCATCATCATCATCATTTGCCAAAAATACTTGATAACTGCAGCAATTGCGACATAGAAAATAGGTTTAATTTTCTCAATTTTGCTCCAAAATCTCCTCTGCCATATTTTATCCCTAGGGATATTCCATACCTTCAGACACTGCATATGAGCCCTGCCCATCCCCCAAACCAGCATTTATGGGTTCCTTTAATATAGTTCAAGCCCCCAAATGTTTTGAAGCAAAACTAGTTTGGGAAATGCTAACCCAGGGCAAATGCTCAGAGCCTGGCTTCATGAAGTCTCTCCAGGGGGAATGTTTTGGAGCCCAAGCTCTCCAGGGAACAGTCAGTCTTCTCTTAAGAATCTGTTCCTCCTATTATGTAGTTGGGGCCACTGGGCAGCTAGGTCAGCGCAGTGGGTTGGCTCATTGTAACACAGCGTTCATTAACCCCATCCGCTCATTAGGGAGCATGGCAGCTGCTGGAAGGGGGGTTTGACAGAGGCCTTGCCTGTCCTGCCCTGCCCTCTCCTGTTCCTCCTTTGGACAGAATTGATGTCACAAGATGATGCACCTGTTTTTGCCACCCTCAGCTCTATTTTCATTCTTCCACCGGGAGGGGGAGAGGATGAAGGGGAAACTGGACTGACCTTGGAGCCAATCACCTATAGCTCTGTGAGTGTTCAAAAGCTCTGTTGGTAAGCAGAGTGACTCAATTGATTGTGTTCAGACCTAGGAGATGCTTGTCTGAGGGAGTAGAGACATTCTAACAGGACAGTAAGCTAAATGGAAGGACTGAGATTTTCCCAAACCTTTTTGCCCAAAGTTGAGAGGAAGCTACAAGTCATCTTTAGCAGATACAGCATCTGCATAACCAGGGGTGGGGAATCTGTGGCCTCGAGGCCACATGTGGCCCTCTAGGTCCTCAAGTGTGGCCCTTGACTGAATCCGAACCACAGAACAATTCCCCTTAATCAAAGTATTTGTTCTATAAAACTTGGACTTGGTCAAAAGGCTGCACCCAAGGACCTAGAGGGCCATATGTGGCCTTGAGGCCACAGGTTCCCACCCCTGAAATAAATTTTCTTCAAAAACAGACCATTCCAGCCAAACCAGGGGGTCTTTCTAAAGTCATTTTATCTGTCCCCCTATTGCTTTCATTCAATACTTCATGACCCCGCATGGGGTTTACTTAGCAAAGATAATGGAGTGGTTTGACACTTCCTTCTCCAGCTCATTTTACAGATGAGGAAACTGAGGCAAACAGGGTTAAGTGACCTGCTCAGGGTCACACAGCTACTAAGTGTCTGAGACCAGATTTGAACTCAGGTCTTCTTAACTCCAGACCTGAGTTCTTTCCATCGCACCACCTAGCTGACCTGTCTGTCCTTCTACCTTCAGGTAGAAGGACCCCTAATCAAAGTTACTAGAAGCAATTCTATGAACTCCTTTGGTAACCTATTTTTAATAATAAGAACAACTTCTTGAATTTGTAAATAACTTTATAGTTTTCAAAGTATCTTTTATGTGCATTTCCCTATTAGACCCTCACAAAAGCCCTGTGAGCAAATAAGGACCAGTAGCACTATCTAGTCTATCCTATGTATGACTGCGAAATTAACGTGACTAATACCCAAGACTGTCAGCAGCATCCCCTCACTCAAAAGCCATCTGTGGTTCCCACCTGCCTTCCAAACAAGATCCAAATTTCTTAGACTGGAATTCAAGACTATCATCAGTCTGATCCAACCTACCTTTTCAAGTTTCTCACACCATCTCATTTGGCACACTCTGTACTCATGCTCAAATAGTCTGTTCATTCTTCTCCAAATGAGCCAATTCACTTCAATTTAATAAGCATTTGCTAAATATTAAATGTGGAAAGGAAACTGTGTTAGGTAAAGAGGATGCAACAGCAAAAATAAAAACGGGTTCTAATTTTAAGAAGCTTACGTTCTACTCCTTGCATTCTTCTCCAGGCCTCACTCCTGATGACTCTCCTCCTAGATTTTCACTATAATGCCGAGACGCAGGGGTGTGCTGGAACCAGCCCCATCCAACTGGCTGGCACTTAGGAGCAAATGCTACTGATCATGCCTTGATGTATTGTTCTGTTGCTTGTCTAGACTTAAGGAAATGAGGGACAGAATGTTAATAATCCAGATTAAGCTTAATCTAGTTTTTTCTATTTTAATATGTTATGAAAATGCTTCTTTTTATAGCTTAACTTCAGAATAAAAGAAAAAAATTTTTTTAAAAGTACCATTTGTACATTCTGCTGTTGTTGTCCCAGAGAACCAGTCATAAAACATTTCCAGGCACATCCCTACAATCTCTCCACTCTGGAAGCTCATTCCAGCCCTGCAGCTTCTCCTTTGTGTTGACTGTCTTCTCCCAGGACTTCCATTTTAAGGACAGCCAGGGCCATTCCTCTCTAAGTAGCACTGGACTTTATTCTCAGACTTTGTCTAATTTCTCCATTCACTCCTTCATCTTCCTCTACTCTACTGTCCCACTGTTTTATATGTTGTCTTCTTTCGTTAGAATGTAAGTTCCTTGAAGGGAGGAAGGAAGGAAGGAAGGAAGGAAGGAAGGAAGGAAGGAAGGAAGGAAGGAAGGAAGGAAGGGAAGAAGGAGGGAGGGAGAGAAGGAAGGAAGGAAGGAAGGAAGGAAGGAAGGAAGGAAGGAAGGAAGGAAGGAAGGAAGGAGGGAGGGAGGGAGGGAGGGAGGGAGGAAGGAAGGAAAGGAGGGAGGAAGGGAGGAAGGAAAGGAGAGAGGGAGAGAAGGAGGGAGGGAGGGAGAGAAGGAGGAAGGGAGGGAAAGAAGGAGGAAGGGAGGAAGGGAGGAAGGAAGGAAGGGAGGAATGAAGGAAGGAAAGGAAAGAGGAAGGGAGGGAGGGAGGGAAAGAGGGAGGAAGGGAGGAAGGAAAGAAGGGAGGAGGGGAGGGAAGAAGGAAGGGAGGAGGGAGGGAAGAAGGAAGGAAGGAAATAAGTATTTATGAAACTCCTACTATGTTCCAGGCATCATGCTAGGTGCTTAAGAAATATTATCTCGTTTGACCTTATAATAACCTTGGGAGGTAAGTTCTATTATTTTATAATCAATATAATAATAAATTATTAAAGATACATTATTTTAATAATATTAGGATATAGATCCCCATTTTACAGTTGAGGAAACTGAGTTAGACAGTGGCTTTCCCAGAGTCACACAGCTAGTTAATGTCTGAGGCATAATTTGAACTTAGGTCTTCCAGACTTCAGACTCAGTGCTCTGTCCATTGTGGCACCTAGCTGTCTCCTTCCTTGACAGCAAGGACTTTCTGCTTGTATTTGTATTCCCAGTAGTTAGCCCAGTGCCTGGCATATAGTAAGCATTTCATAAATGCTTGTTGACTCGTTGATTTTATTCTACTAGAGGAAAACAACATTTAAACAAATATAGAAATACAAAATATTTACAAACTGAATACAAAGTGACTTCTGGTGGCAAGGAGGTAGAGATTACTCTGCCTGGAGAGCCCTTTCTTTTTCACAGCTGTGACTGCCTAACAGAGAATTCAAAATTTGAAGGTTGGAAGGAAACCTCAGAGGTCAGCTAGATGAAAGCAATGTCCCCTATAACATACCTTCAAAGTGGTCATCTAGACTCTGCTTGAAGAGTTCCAATGAAAAGGAACCCACCATATATCAAAGCAGTTTTTTCTACTTTTTGGTACCTTATAATTACTAGGAAGTTGTTTGTGTTTTTTTTTATATTAAGCCAAAATTTTCCTCTTTACAACTTCCTCCCACTGCTCCTTGGTTCTGCCTTTTGGGGCTGTAAAGAACACACCCAATTCCTCCCCCAAATGATGATTCTTTGAAGTGGGCTATCATGTCTTCAAGTAATAAGCCTCATATGAAATGCACTCAAGACCCTTTACCATTCTGCTTACCCTCCTCTGGACATTCTCTAACTTACCATTGTCTTTATTAAACCATGGTGAATAGAATTGAACATAGTACTCCAGATGAGGTCTGACAGGGAAATCTATACAATGAGATTAGATGCAGAATTCAGCGGAAGCTTCCTTTTCCTGAAAGCTATACCTGGGAGCTATATCATAATGTGGGAAATAACATAAGAAATTTACTGTGAATTTCTGAATACAGACAACAATGCCTCAATTGAAATTAAAAGAATAAATAAACCTCCAGGAGGAAAAACATGCTTTGAATTCCAAAGTATATAGTGATAAAATTTAACAAATACAAATTTTGCATGTGGCCAAAGAAAGACCTTCAACATAAAGGAAAGGAAATTCAAATAATAGAAGATTATTCCACCACCACAAGAAATCATCAGAGGGAATGGAATGATATTTCAAAAATCAGAAGATCTTAAGATAAATTCCAAAATGACCTACATTAATATATGAAACTAATCAAACTAATCATCAGTGGATTACATATTTCCTGTATGTGTCTTTGTAAGTAGTTTCTCAGATATTTTATGCAATTTAAATTTATTTTGATTGGAATTTCTCTATCTTTAGCTGCTGGGTTTCATTCTTGATATACAGAAATTCTGGTAGTTTGTGTACTTTTATTATACATACCGCAGAAGTTACTAGTTTTGCTGAAGTTATTAGTTTTTTTAAATAATTTTTTAATTCATTCTTTAGGATTCTCTAAATAGATAATAATAGAATCCACAAAATTAAATGGTTTGGTTGCCTCTTTGTTTCCTCAATTTCTTTTTCTCTTGTTATTGCTATAGCCAACATAAATACAACATAGCTAAAATAAATATTTAATGTGTTTTCATTAATATTCATTAAGAACACTGTTCTATGGCTTTAATTCTCCTCTTTGTGTTTCCCTGGTTTATGTATAAGATCATGTTTTTATTATAACTAGAATTTGGTAGGATTCCTTCTTTTAAAATTTTCACAAACATTTCATGTAACATTATATTCTGTTCTTTGAATGGGTGGTAGAATTCACTTAAATCCATCTGGTCCTAGGGATTTTTATTTCAAGTGTTCAATTTCTTCTTCAGTTTACTTTTCTAAAATTGTATTATTTGAATTCTTTATTTCTTGTCATGTTCCTTTGGATATTTTTATTTTTATAATTATTCATCTAAGCTAACAGATTTGTTCACACATAATTGAGGAAAATAGTTTACTATAGTTTTATTTCATCTTCATTTTTTACAGGTTATTTTTCATTTTTAATGCTGACAATTTGATTTTCATCTTCAAAAAATTCAGATTAGCATCCTGTCTATTAAAAAAACGCTAATAGTTTTATTTATCAAGTAATTTTTTGGCTTTCAATATTATAAACCAATTCTTTGGTTTTCAAATTTTCTACTTTGGTGTTAAAGTTTTTTGATTTGTTGTCTTTTTGGTTTGTGGTTTTTTTTTTTAAGTCATGTTATCTGTTATTTCTCTCTGTTGATGAAAGGGGTTAGAGATGTGAATTTTTTTCCAAGCATTGTTTTGGAGACATACAACAAGTTTTAACATGTTATTCAAGTGTTGTTTTCTTGAAGAATTTTGCTGTTATTTTTATGGTTTATTCTTTGACTCATTAATTCTTTAGGATTAAATTATTTAGTCTCCAGATAATTTTAATTCTTTCCTCAAGGTCAGTTATTAAGTATAATTTTTGTTGTAGTTAAAAGTAACCCATTATTTTTGATTTTGTATGTTTGTTCATGAGGATTCTATACTCCAATACATGATCAACTTCTTAAAAATACTAGATGCAACTTTGAAGTATGTGTGTTTATTTTTATTCCTATTCAGTAGCAGCCAGAGATCTACCGTCTCTAACTTTTCAAAAATTCTTTTCAGGTTCTTAATTTCTTTATTGTTTTTATTTTTATTGAATTTGCTTAGTTTTGAAAGAGAGTGCATTAAGGTTCTGTATTGTTGAAGTGTTATTGTATATTTCTACCTATAATTCAATTAACTTTCCTTTAAGCATTCAGATGCTATACTATTTGGTGAATATACAGTAACTGTTTATACTTATTTATTAATATGGTGCACTTAAGCATGATTTAATTTCTCCATTTATTTCTTTCATTCATGTTTTTTAATGGTGCCATGTCTTAGATCATGAATGACATCCCTGCTCACTTGAGTTCATCTCAAGTATAATAGATTTTGTTCTATCCTCTTACGTTAATATTTATGTTTTAAGTGTGTTTCTTGTGAGGACCATATGGTTGGATTTTGTTTTCTAATCCATTCTTCTATCTTCTATTTTGTGATTAAGTCCATTCCTTTTATCTTCACAGTTATGAGTGTTAATTGTATATTCCTATTTTATAATCATATTTTTCTTTACTTTGCTCCTTGTGCCTCTCTTTATAAATAATAAAAAGGTATAAGAGGAGTGTACTTAACATCAGTGTTCTGTAACTTAATCTGCCTGCTTCATTGCCCCTCTCTATTTTCTCTTACCTAGATCTCAATCATATTTTTTTATTCTTGCTTTTTTTTTTTGATGGTAGTAACTGGAAGCTTTATTTAACACAAATAAAAATGTGCAAAGTATTTTACTCATTTTCTTCACTCCTCAGTCTAGCATTTGGATTGGTAATTTTGATGGCTAGCTGAGCTGCTCTCTCAACAATGACTTTCCGATTCTTGGAGTACACATTGTGAGCAATCTCAGCACAGTAAGATTTGTTGCACATCAGCAGCACTTCTAGCTCTTTGATGTTGTATACCAAGAACTTCCTGAATCCACTCAGTAACATGTGTTTGGTCTTCTTATTGCTTCCATAACCAATATTGGGCATCAAAATCTGGCCCTTGAATCGTCTTCGCACCCTGTTGTCAATGCCTCTTGGTTTACGCCAGTTTCTCTTGATCTTGACATATCTGTCGGACTGGTGCCGGATGAACTTCTTGGTCTGCTTCTTGATGATTTTAGGCTTTACGAGAGGTCTGAGGGCAGGCATGGTGCCAGCGAAGAGATAGCGGCCCTTCCATGGGAAGCGCCAACAGAGAGCTATTCTTGCTTTCTTTCCTTATAATCTTGCCTTCATAGTATACACTGCAATGTTAGGATTTGTTTTGCCTGCAAGTAATTCTTAATTGACTCTTAACCACCACCCCCAACCAAATAACATCTCTTTTATCTCTAGTCATCTATTATCCTGTTGAGTTTAATGTATTTTTATGCCAAACTCTTGGTGTATAAGCCTGTATGTGTTTTCAATCCTCCTTTGTACAGTTCATATGAGAATGAGGTTCGTGTGATTCTGATTCCTCACATTTCTTCCTTCATGTTTATATACTTTTCCTCTTGTGTACTGCAGTTATGTAAAATTGCAAGTTCTTTTCTTCCTCATTTCTTCCCTTAGTGTGTTCCATTTTCCCTCCCTTTCATTTAATTCTCTCTATAGCCCTCAATGGCATTAGGGTTCTTAAAGGATACTTGGGTTTTCCCCCATTAGAATATAAGCATATCATCACTGTATATCCCCTTCTAATTGTTCAAAAGTTTTTGAAAGTCTAGCTTTCTCTTGACTCCTCTGTTCAAAGATTTTACTCTGCTCTTGTTTTTTCATCAAGACTGTTTAAAAGTCTTCTATTTCATTAAAGGTCCATTTTTTTCTCCTGTATGCTTAGTTTTCAAGACTGTTATTCTTGTTGTAAGCCTTTTATCTTTTGCTTTTCGGAATGTTGTAGCCCTAAATCTCTTCTACTTATAGGAGTATCTGCCAAATCTTGTCTGATCTTGGTTTTGATTCCAAGATTCTCTTTCTTTTTTGACTATTTGCCATATTCTTTTTTTTTCTTTTACTCAGAAATTCTGGATTTTACCTCTGCTAGCATATACCTTTCATTTTCTTCTTTTTTTTTTGCTCTTTTGATTTTCTTAATTTGTTTTTGTTTTCTCATGAAGGTATTGGTTTCTATTTGGCTCATTCTAACTTTTAGGGAGTCCATTTCTTAGATAAAGTTTACCTCTTGATTTTCTAAGCTACCAATTATCCTTTCCATTCTTTCCTACATATTTCTCATTTAAAATTATACCTAGTATCTCCTGTTTAATTTATTTCAGATGCTCTTACAGTCCTTGTTATCAAAACATTATTCTCACTAAGGTTCTGCTTTCACTTGCTAGGGAGTCACTATCTTCTCCTCGGTTTACCTCTTTGGACTCTCAAAATCCATAGTACTTCTTTACTGAGTTTGGCATTTTCTTCTGTCTGTTCATCTCTCAAATATCTAGTTTGGGATTAGAAGTTTGTGCTTAGGTCAGACTCTGCTTCTTCCCATTCCTATAGCCTTCAATAAGATGGTCAGACACTGCTTGGTCTAGACCTGATGGATAAGATGAGACCTGATCCTTTTCACAGGAATCCCTGAGTTTTGTCTGTCCCCTGGTGACCTGACTTATATTTTGGCATCAGCCTCTTCCTTGCACAGTTCTAAAGCAAAAGTGGCTGTGTGACTTGTTGTCCCTGACAGCACCCCACCAGCTTGCTTGCTAAATATTGTTGTTTTTCTGGTAGCAGGCCTCCTGCATGACCCCGGGTGCTGTGCTGTCCAGGTACTGCCCTGGTCTTTTATCTTGCTTTGGGTCCTGCTCTGGTTCAGGTGTAGAGGAGCTGGGTATTGGTCCATAACCTATCTCTTGCTGTGGTTCAGGTGCAAGCTTTTTGAGCACTGAGCAGTATTCTAGTCTGGCCCATCTCTTACTGTGGCTCCAGGATGTTTGCCCATCAAATCTTCTGCCTACCCTGGCTTGTTTCTGCTCAAAATCTCTGCAGGCTTCTGTTGGTCTTGTGCAGTCCTGCACTGGATAGAGGAGTTTATCTTTCATTATTTATCCCTGTTCCTTCATAATAGCTTTATTAGAATATTTAGGACTTGTCTAATACCTATCACACTACAATCTACTTTATTCATTATAATTGTATGGTATTGTAGCCAATACAAAATTGCTTAATATTTCTGTTTTGTATTTATTTTTGAGAAAGTGGCTTTTTTTCCCTCTTAGCACTTGTTCAGTTTTCTATAAAAGTTAACTTGTAGCAGAGAAATATGCATATTCTAGTTACCATTGAGTTATTTCC